ATGTATGTATATATATGTATGTTTTTGTTTAAATTCCCTTCACATTTACTGCTTTCATCCACACAGAGACACTAAAAACCTTCAATGAAAGCCATGAAATTCTTCCAGAGGATTTAAACGCTTAATTATATTATTTTATTTATACACACTTTAAAGAGTTCTCTAACCAAGTTTTTTTCATCAGAATTGAGCTCAAAAGGTGCAAAAGTCAGAATCTTGTGCTCATTTCTTCATGTTTTTCCAACAAGCAGTCAGATTTTATTTTAATCTGTGAAAGGTTAACAGTTTTCAGGCATTCTGCTTTTCTTGTGACGAGCAACAACGTGTCAAATATAAAGAAATGAGAGCTGTAAGATGGTTGCACAGGCCTCTAGATCTGGTTTTTTGTTTATTTTATAGTTATTTAAAAAACAAAATCCCACGAAAAGGACAAAAGTTCTGATCAAATATGAGAACAATCAAGCTAGCTGCAATTTTCAAAAAGCTTTAAACATAATGGACAAACTGCAAAACAATTTTAAAAAAGTGGTAATTTTTCATTTTATTATTAATTATTTAGCCTAATTAAAATGACTAAAAGCTTTGTTTACTATTTTTTGTTGTCCGAATAATATGGTTTGTTTTTACGAAATTAGATTTAGCAAATTTAGACTTCAAACTTTAAATTTTTAACTGCAGCTTGATTTCTTTCTTTTATGGATTTGTTAACTATTAAATGAAATATTAAAATTTCTTTAAGGATTAATCCATGTTTAAGCTTATTAAAGTTGCCTTTTCATGAGATTTGTACACATTAAGGAAAATAAAGTATTAACTAGATAAAAAAGTTTTGTGCCACAAATATATTTTGTATTTTAATGTTTTGCACTAAAATTGTTACATAATTTGTCTTTTTTGTTTGTCATATTGCTTTAATTTTTGTATACTTTTTATAATTTAAATGATTTATTTTCCTGCCTCTTGTTTACAAAACGGGGTGTCTGCATCTCAGCTTGAGCCAAAAACAAAAGAAAATATTGCTTAATATTAGATTGAATTATATAAAACAAATAAGTTAAAGAAACTATTTTCTAAAGTAGATAAAATAAATGCAGGAATAAACAATTTGAAAATAAATTAGGTGTCTGAAAATTGCTCGTTCAGATATTCTTTGGTTGATTTCCTCATTTACTTTTGCTTTTTATTTTTTAGTTATAGTTATTTTTTATGATTTTTTGTTGCTCTCTGCTCTAAACGGCTGGTTTTTGTCTGGCAGCTTCCACACCTGTTCGGATTTTCATCCATTAACTTCTTGAACGAGTTACGGTACGTTTCCAACTCAGAGAAAAACTGACATCACTTGAAAGCAGCGTGTCACGTTCAGGTGCTCATAAACTACACTGTGTTTCCTGCAGTAAGGTGCTCGTTAAAGTCTAAAATACAAAATACTTTGTAAGGCTGTGAATCAACGCGTTTGTCTGCTGTTCTCTTAAAGAAATCAAATAAATAGACATTTACGTTAATTAAGAGATTTGTTAGATTAATTATTGAAAAAAAATTTAGATTTTGATTAAATTAAGGGTGCCACAAAAATGAGGAAATGCAAAGAAGATATCTTTAAATTAACATTCATAAAATATAAAATCCGTTTTTTAATTATCTAGTTGTCTGTATTTCTTTTAAACTATAAACCTTTTCATTTGATTCCTTTTATTTTTGGTTGCACTTTTGATGAAAATAATGGAGATTTTTGTTCATTCGACTAAACTTTTAACAGGTAAAAGCAAATTATCACATTCTCAAAAATAAAAAGCCCTGAAATAACAAAGGTACTCAATGCAAATTATGAAATCAAACATAAAACGCTGTCCTGAACTGAGTCGGGGTGAAGTTTGAAAGATTTTACTTTGGTAGTTTTCCAGAAATATTGATTCGCAATTCAGAAATGTGGGTCCACACTCGATGTAAACAATTTTTTTTGCATGCATTCAACTAATCTGAGCATAAATACGTACATTTGCATAAAAATTGTTGTTCCCAAACAGCTCTTATGAGGATGCCGCCATTGTTGACCTATTTTAATCATTGGGATTTACCTGTCTAAATAAAGGTTGATTGATCGATTTTCAGTCCCTTCAGCCGTTTCTCTAGGTAAATAATCGCAGTTCACAAATTTTGCTTGCAAATGTTTATTTAAGGACACATTAACCATTGATGTTTTTTCTTACTTCATTTTTTTTTTTAATCATTCATTATTTTGCACTGAGTACCTTTAAAAGCAAAATATTTTCTTTTAAAATGGTAAAAACAAATAAAACAGTAATATTGTTTTTTTTTAAATTGTTTAAAATATTTTCTCTTTGTTTTTCATCACTCAATTTCCTCTGTTTTGTGGCACGTCTGGGACTCCGTAGTATCCAGATTAATAAACATAACCTCTGTTAAAACTGTTTACAAAACAAAAGTAAAAAAAAAAAAATTACATGAAGGTACCATGTGAAATCTGTGAATTCCAACTGTTCTTGAACGCACCGTGACCTGACCCTTCCTCTGATTCTTCTTGCTGGTGCCAAACAAGGTCAAAGGTTGTTCCGCACTTTTATGGTTCTGGAAGAAGTCCAGATTATTTTTATTTTTTGTCAATTTTTGAATGATCTACTCCAGGATTAACATTGTAATCAATATTTCCTCATTAGATGCTTGTGTTTGTGATCTATCTGGGAACTGAATGCAGCATTATTTCTGAGCTTTGGACTTTTATCTTTTTCTTCCTCTCATTCTTTCCCTCCTCATCATCTCTCCTCTTCCTCGTCGCACCTGCATGCCCGTAAAGGGGGGCTTCTTTCTCATTGGGCAGGTGTGATTCCAGACAAGGTGCAGCACCTGGGCAGCGCTTCTGATCTGACTGGAAACATTTTTTTAATATATATCAACGCTTAATCCCAATCATTTTTACTCATGCCTCTGGCTTACTGATTCAGAAACTTCCCAGTTACCTCAAATGCACCACAGAGAGCAGAAATCAGCTGCTCGTGCTGCGTTCGTGCCACATAAGGATTACTTTTTGCAACATTTTAAAACCTCATTTAAGTCTGTGAAAAATAACTAAATTATATGAAAACAGAAACATTCTTGCTTTAGTTTTTCCCACTTTGGGCAGCTCATGTGTATAGAAATTCCGGTTTGACACGAACGCAGCATCGAAGCAGGTCCTGGCACCTGCCCAAAGAGGACTAATCAAACCCGGATAGATCCATTCGAGTCTGAAGAAGAAGAAGAAGAAGAAGCAGGTTAATGTGAAACTGCCTTTGTACTGAGTGATTCGTAACACTGGACTGAACTCAGTGTCACACTGCACACACTACAAACTATGACCAGCACTTGTAATGAAGCAATGACACAGCATTCTACTACTACTGTACAAATATAATGAAGAGGATGTTTTTTTCTGTAATAATATTGAAACTGAAGATGAATTAAAGATAATCCTGAATATTCTGTAACTGTGGTCCTGATGAGTTTCTTTTTCAAGGGTTTACTGAACAGAAATATTTGTTTTGTGAAGGATGCAGAGACTGTATTATTTAATTCCAGACAGTATGAGCTTTACATATTTTACAATTGATATCCTGAATGTCAGACATATTCCATATTTAAAACATTTAGCATTATTTAACTGCATATCACCCTCCACCTTCCATGTCAGAGTTTCAAACAGATCATTTTATGTTGAAAGACGACATCGTCACCTTTTTAGTTAAGCACCAAGTCTTAGCTCAACATCTGTAAAACTGACCAGTATATCAATTTTTGTTTTCTATCAGTTGCCTGTGGCGGCCATCTTAAATTGGACTGGCTCCATTAACCATTTGTAGATGCAAGTCCAATAATTGCTTCCCCGTTGTTTCAGCATGAGCCATTTTGCAAACAGAGATGGACCAGTTTTATTCCAAATAGTTTGTAGCAAAATTTTAAACAAAGGTGTTGCACAATCAGTCAGCACTCATGAAGAGGGATTAGTCTCAGCTACTAACACGTGGGATAATCTTTGTAAAATTGACATGGTTAAAGCCACTTTTGTGTGTGCTAATGTAGCTGTGGTGGCCATGTTGAACTGGGTTTTACATCCAGTGATCACTTTTGAATTAGCTTGGTAACAATTAAGTAAAAACGGGTGAATAAAAAGTTGGATGTAAACAATTTACTGCTATTACTTGGGTAGTATTTAATATATATATATATATATATATATATATATATATATATATATATATATATATATGATCAGTGTTTGATTTTGTGTCGTATCATAATTTTTATAGACATACAGTATTTACATTGCTTTGTAGTAAATTTCATCTTTTTTAAACGTAATCTTCCAGTTTCCGGATGCCATAAACGCAACCCTATTTCCACAGTCTGGTGCTGTTCAGCAATCTTTGTAGCAACGCGTTTGATTGGCTGAGATGGGGTTTCCTTTCTTCGTCCTATCCAATCAGCATCTTAGTTTTATTCGGTCGTCCGCACGCTGACTCCTCCCACCCGGGTTGAGTGGATTTGGAAGTGACAGACGAGGAGGAGGAAAGGAGGGTGTTTTCATCGTTCTTCCGCCGATGAACGAGCAACAAGTGTTTTGGAGTAAAACTGGGAATTAAACTGGTAATACAACTCTAACGGCTTGGACTAAAGTCAATTTTAAATCTGGAGTTTTCACGCTGGACGTAGCGGATACAAGAGTGCGTGGACGGCTCGAGGTGAGTGCGCCTGAAGCGGCTTTGTGTTCAACAGGTGCCGCAGTTAGCTTGCTAACCTTTAGCTTGTTGATAACTGCGAGCAAACTTAAAGTTAGCCAGCTCGGTAAAGAACCGGGCCGTTTAGCTAACCTGAGGCACACAGTTCACATCGACTGAAGGTGCGAAGTACAGAGAAAAACTCCGGGAATATTTTTTTTTTCCTGAGACCGAAACGATTGTAGCTAACGTCAGGTTAGCTAGTATCTGTCACTCCGCCCTGTCTGTCTGCAAAGCCCAGAAACCCCACAAAGATCTCACGTAGATAAACCTAAACACTGCTGTTGTGTAATTATTGTCCAACTGTTTACACAAGAACATGTTTAATGTCTCACTGTGTTAAAGTTCAGTTTTTAGGGACTAAATTGGTGTAATAGGATGCAAAATTACTTCATGGCAGGCTGATAGTTCCTGATTAATGTGAGTCAACACACACAGTGGTCTCTTTGCGTTACTGTCAGGTGCCAAACAGACTAAAACATTAAAATACAACATAAACTGAACTAAGACACAAGAAAAAACGAACACAAAAACTAAAATTCAACAATAACTGCATAATAAATAAAAACAAAATACAGCAACTTAACAAATCAAACATCAAAACTATAAATGCATTTATTCAAACAAATTCACTAAAATTCTAAACATGACCAAAAATGTAAAGAAAAACAACAAAAGCACAAAAACATGCCTTCCAAAATACAATAGTAACTCATTAAAACAAACAAAATACCCCACAAAGCCATAAAAACGTATTTGTCAAAGCCAAATTCAAAAGCGTTACATCACAAGAAAAAATATGTACAATTAGACATGTTAAAAAGCAACAAATGTATCTGGTACTAACAAATACTGTAAAGGGAAAATACAACAAAACCAAAACACTAACTAAATTTACTACAGCAAAACCAGAGATATAAAACATTTGGTCTAAATTTGTATTTATGTTCCTGAAACCCTTACAAACACAAACTACACTGTAGTTTGTGTGTGATGGAAGGGAATCTCTGTTGCTGTGTATCTCTGCAGCTCTAGAACCAACAAAAATGCAGTTTTGATCTTATCTCTGAGGCATGAGCTGTGTGTGTGTGTGTGTTGGCGAAGATTACAACAAAACTGTTGAGGTCAGTGTTTCTGGCCACACTGTTGTGTTTTTATCATCATGTCTTTCCTCTGTGTGTTTATCCTTGCTTTAAATCTGACTCCACACACGAGTCCGAGTGATGAAACGTGAAATTACAACTTCTGAGGATTCAGGACACACAACTCACTAATTCTACGCAATTAAATTCAGTCCAGCCAGAAAACATAAAATATTCTTGTCGATCCAGTAGTCCCACATATATGTGGTATTGATTTTCCCGAGTTTATTTTTACGGTTAAATTTCTTCAGAGAAAAGCTGCCGCTGATGCTCAATAATAAGAGAAATGAAGCAGACGGGACTGATTTGACTTGATTTTTATAAGACCAAATACATTTAGATTCTAACCTTCATGTTGGTTTAAAAATTCAACAAAATAAGTTTTTTTTTATTGTTTGCTCTAAAAACATGAAAGTTTTATTTGCTTAATTGTGAAACACATTTTTTGTTTGTCTAAATTATTGCTCTATATTGTTAAAAATAAAGATAAAACACTCGGTTTGCTTTAGTTGATTTAGTCTTTAATTTATAATAAACAATTTTAGTGTAAAGCATCATAGTTTTTAGGGTAAAGACAATGGATGGATGAATAGTAATAACTTGCATCTGTTTTAATGAACATTATCCTGCATGACTGTTTTTTTTTTCTCCTGCTGCCTTGAGTCATGCATTCATGTAAAGCTGTATGTGTGTTTGTCTGTTAGCAAAATATTTCCTGAATGGACGAGTTTTAATAAAGTTCTCAGATGTAATCACAGGACTCTACATTTAAAACTGATTAACTTTTGGAGTCCACTTGATTCAAGGCGGTTGCCACAGCTAATCGAACTGAGCAAACACAGAAATGGCAAAAGCTGTGTCCATTTTAAATGGTAAATGGTAAATGGACTGTACTTATAGCGCCTTTCTATCTTATTTCAAGATACTCAAAGCGCTTTACACGACAATCTGTGCCCTCATTTTACCCATTCATGCAACACACTACTAGATCTCTAGAAAGCTAATTGAACAAATCATTCTAAAGAGACTTATCAGAGCTTTAGATCACATTCATACACTGATTGGACACACAGGCTATGAGGGGTTCAGTGTCTTGCCCAGGGACACGTCGACAGTTGACTGCTGGTGGATTCGAACCCCCAACTCTCGCATTGGAGGACGACTGCTCTAACCACTCAGCCACAGCCGCCCCTTTAAAGAAAAGGAACTACAACTTGGTTTACAATGATCTTTTTTCTTTGAAATATTCTCTCAAAATCCGTGTTCAAGAAATTTTGTTAATCCAGCAAGAATAGCAAAAATAACTTATATAAATTAACGTTTAAATTATAAATGGTTTTCAGAAAATGGAGCAATGTATAGCCATGCGTTCACTGATGCTCAGGACTTTGAACTCACCTTTGCCATCTCACCTCAGCTGTGTATGAGGTCTCGTTACCATGACGACAGGGTCAGAGGTGACATTAACATACACAAAATGGTAACGTGTTCAATCACTCATCCAGGCGGGTACAACTAATTCGTCCAAATCTTATCACTTGTGCAAAATAATCCTGATCAGCAATTATTTATTTATTCTGGGTCCATCTTGAGTCAGTTTATTAATCCAGCTGTTGTTCTTTACTTAATCTTTGATTAGATTATCAAAACATTTTCACAATTTTTTTTGTCATCTCAAAAATATGCTTATTACTGTATTTTAACTTCATACACAGAAATATATGTGTTGACTGGTTTTATCAGCCTCATTGTTTTTGTTTGTTTGTTTGTTTGTTGCATCATGTGGTGGAACACATTGTTAGTTCTTCCTGTCGTTCATTTCAGTCTTTTCCTCTGGTGTCTGGTACCAGATGGTGCAGCTGGCGTGCTTCAGTGTTATATTTAAGATAACGGACGGCTCTGCTTCTGCTCCTCGACACATTCGCTTCAGATGCACTAAGAGTCCACTTAGTTTAACTCATCGGTTGTTATTTTGTTTGGGTTTGTGGACTTTAGGTTCATAAAGTAATGTTTTTCTGCCAAAACCACTTTGAGAAATCCTGTGTTGGAGAACTTGTGTGTCTGGCATAATCTGAATATTGTTTTTAGAAAACGTCGTTGAGTCGGTGCTTTTGTTCATTTGAGTCTTTCTGTTTATCTCCATGACGCACTGAAGATTTTAAATGTACTAATGTTACGTCTTAAATTAAATCTGATTATTTGTGATTTCTGTTCTTTTAGCTTGTTTTATTTACCCTGTCCTTCCAGTTTGAACCATGTCTTTAACTTGATTTATTTTTGGTGAAATCATATTTCTGTATCAGTTAATTTGGTCTACTGCATCATATTTTCTATTTTCTTATTTAGGATGGCTTAAATCACTATAGAGACATTTTGTTTTCATAAATAGGGTTAAGACCAACCTTTAAGAACATCCATCTATTATCTTTACCTGCTTCTTCCTTTCCGGGTCTGCTGGGGGGTTGGGGTGGGGGTCACTAGTACCCATATCCAGCAGTAGCTGTACGAGAGGCAGGGGACATCCTGGACAGGTCTCCAGTCCATCACAGGGGACACATGGAGACAAACGTGACAAACAACTATTCATTCTCTCTCTCACACCTGGGACACTTTAGAGTATCAATCATCCTTTCATGTTTTTGGTCTGTGGGAGGAAATCTGAGTACCCGGAGAAAACCCACACATGCACGGAGAGAACATGCAAACTCCACCCAGAAAGGCGCCCAGCTGGGATTTGATCCAGCGATCTTCTCACTGAAATTTGCTGGCTCCTTAGATAAATGTTATTAACTGATCTTTATGTATGTGAACGTTTCTGTGCAGTGCCCCGAGAGGCCTTCTGTTGTGAAATGGTGCTGTAAATAAACTGAATTGAATTGAGATGCAACTGCTCTACCAACTGATCCACCGTGCCACCCCACCTTTAAGAACGGTAGAGCTAAATCAGAAGAGTTGTCCTTGATTGACCTGAGTTTTTAGGCTCATCTAGTGAGCAACAGTCTTCCTAAACCTGAGTTTTTAGGGCAAACAGCAGTTTTTTTTTTTTTTTTTTTTTTTTTTTTTTTTTTTACTGCTACTAAAGATGGCCTGTCTCTTCCAGCCTCAGCTTTTCATCATCTTTGCCAAAAACACATTTTGTTTCAGGTTTAGAACATCAGAACTATAGGTAGTGCTCTGATAAAGAGCTACAGCCCCGAATGTTCAGGCCTAACGATTCCTTCATGATTAAAACAGTCAAATGTGTCCAAATGATTACCGGGTGATGCAGCGAGAGCTTGTAACCTCATGCAGGAGGAGGAGAGTTTTCATACTCTTGAGGAAGGATGCTTGTCCAGGATGCATCGTCTCCCTGAGGGTTCTACTTCTGGTTCAACCTTCTGTTGTTCTTGCATGTTGCCATTGATGTTTGTTATGAAAAAGCCCACTAATTTAATAAATCCTCTGTGAACGCTGGTATTAAAACCTTCAAACTTAAAAAAAAAAAAACATTTACAGGTGCTGGTCATAAAATTAGAATATCATGAAAAAATTAATTTGTTTCAGTAATCCCATTCAAAAAGTGAAACTTGTATATTCATTCATTACACATAGACGGATATATTTCAAATGTTTATTTCTTTTAATATTGATGATTATAACTGACAACTAATGAAAACCCCAAATTCAGTATTTCAGAAAATTAGAATATTACTTAAGATCAATAAAAAAAGGATTTTTAGAAATGTTGGCCAACTGAATCTGCATATTCCTTTTCACAATACCCTGTAGATTTTTTTATGGGGGTCAGGTGAGTTTTCTGGCCAATTAAGAACAGGGATACCA